TTTTATTTCTTTACTTGCACGAGGAAAAGATCATTAATTGATTGCAGCTATCCACTTCAACTTTAAATCTAGGAACTAGCAATTGTTAGAGATTCATTTCAATGTTATCACATTCTTCCTTTCTTGTTTCTTAGTCAGTATACAATATTTGCATACTATTATATTATTTTTATTGTGTATTATATTCATTAACATTCGTTAACATATGCGATATGCAATTTTTTTTGTTAGATATTAATATTTTTATTTATATCGTCTATTTGATTATATCGTTACTTTACTACATTTTTCAATATCTATCAAAAAATATCACGGAGTCGGCAATTCATTAGCGATTGGCTAGAATTGTTAAATTGGTGTTAAGATCTAACATACTAGTACTTCAAATTCCTTCATTTCGATCAAGAGAATGCAAAATGTTCAGCTAGCAGGCGTTCGATGTTTTTCTTATTAATAGGTAAGGTAAGAGAACCAATGAAAATCAAACAAGACACGTAAGGTCCAATATATTTCAAGTAGTTCAATGCTTTCCTTGCATTCCTTTCTTTCCCATTAATTCGGGAAGAACTTGAAAGCGAGCTGTTCAGCTAGCGAGACGATTTGAATCGTTTGGCAGAATTCAAGAACGAGCAACAAACGATATATTCTCAAGTTCAATGCCACCGCGTTCGTTTTCTCTCTTTTAATCTCTCTTTAACTAAACTCACTCGAAATTATACGAAAGCTACACGTTCAGCCAGCCAGGCGTTCGACAAACTTTTGTTAGGAAAGACCAACGAAGGAGGAGATTAAACGAGACAATTGAGATCATCCGGCACATCGCCGTCGTTTTAATTTCGGCGAATACGAAAACGGCCAACTTAAAGTACACAAAACGTTCGGCGACCGCCAGCGAGAGGCGTTTTACACATTTTTATTAGGAAGGTGTAGGAGGAACCGATGGAGATTAAACGAGGTAGTAAAGCCCGGCGTATCGCGAAAATGTGATAAGCACGTCTGGCCAGTTGTTTACGAGAATGCGGGAACCGTGTAACGGCGCGACCCCGGTAAGGCAACGGCGGGTAGTTCGGGGCTGGAAACACCCCTGGAAACACCCCCCCTGATGGCTATAAAACTCCCCCGGAAACCATGCGCAGTTCGTCCGCCTATTCGCTGGTTCGCCGGTTCGCCGGCTCGCCCGTTCGCCTGTCCGCCCGCTGTCACATACGCTCTTTCCCGCTTTACCGAGAGTTACGAGGCTGTAATTTCACCGAGGGCGTCTCTTTCGCCCTTCCTGCTTTATCTTCGCGTCTCCGTGCGCACACACACACATACACACACCGCCCCCGCCGTGACCAGAACCACTCTAGCCACCTCTCGCCTATATACCCCGGGTTCGCTTGTCTCCTGTCCCACGGTAGAAACGCGCGCTGTCGCCGACAAAGTTGAAGTTACGACGCTGGTAAACTCACAAAAGCTTTTTACAAAACTGTTAGCCGGTTCCGGGGTTGCCGCCGTGCTGACAATAATTTCCAGTCCCGAACGTCCGCGGTCGAACGCGTCCTGTCTTCCCAGTAGTCTCGCAAGAACACTACCTCGTGATCTCTTTGTCGTTCTCGACGGAGGGGACACGAGGCCGGACGCTTCGAGAGAGCGTGCACTTCCGCCGCCAGCGTTACCACCCGTGATATTCCCAACATCTTACTCCGAACTCGCATTCTTGCCAGAAATCTTGCCAATGTGCGTAACCATGATGAAACAGGCAGTTGGACTGTTGAATGCGAGTGGTTCTTTTTTTTTTTTATGAAATTAGATGCAAGAAATTTAGCTGTAAAAATAGCTAATAACCTAAACTTGATCTAAATCTTACGATTTTTGTCCCAGTCTATCGAATTTCTAGTTGGCAACTTGATATATTCAATCCCCATCAATGGAAAATGGCTCCCGTTAATATTAACCCCTTGGCTTACGATTTTTTTCTTACTCTTCGGTAATTGATTATTGCATGTTACGCATTGGAAACATTATTTATATTTATTAATCTGCCAGTTTGAAGAACTAAAATTGAAAGTTCAAGAAACCCGTATCCCGTAGAACTATAATTTGCTTTCTCTTTCAAATCGAAAGCTACACGTTCTCTACCACGAGTGTAACTCGATATCGCAATAACTCAAAGGGTTGAGCGTCGAAGCTGCTGTAATTTCGTGAAATATAATAATAAACTTGAGTCGATTTCGAAGCCTCGAACCCTGTACCTTAAGAAATTGCATCGTACATTTTATTCCAAGATCTTTTTTTACACTTGCGCAGCAAAATGACAAAGTCTCTTCTCTTCTCGAAAATACTACAAATCGTAACCACTGAAACTATAAGAAACATCGAATACTGTGATAAAATAGAGATTACATAATTTCGCGATGGATGGAAGTGAATCTCGGAAATTATTTCGGACAATGATCAATTAGAAGTTCACTCGCAGAAAAACTGTACAAATAGTACGAGTAGAATTATGTAAACGAACGAATGAAAAAAGTGATGAAAAACGAAGAAAATAAACAGAGATCGTAGCACCGACTGGCAATAAAGTTTTTGTCACTGGTCTAGCTTTCGAGTCACGAAGATACCGGAAACGAAGGCTGTCTAAACAATCCCATTCTTCGGTGACAAAAGACGTGGAACGCGTATGCATGTGTACGTAATAAACTGTGTCTAAAATCGAGCAGCTGTTTGCCAGTGTGTAAGGCCACAAAGAAGGTTAAAAGGTACGTGTATACACCGACTGTCGACTCCATTCGTTGGCACAAGCCCTGACGAATAGAGTTAATGTTGAAAATGTCAGTATGAAATATATTCGAGTGCCGAACGCGAAGGATGGGCGTGAAGGCAACACAGGGGCTTGACAATGCTTCTCTACCGAACGTAGGCAAAGGGACATTGTAATCCAATGAAATTTATTACAGCAGCACTGCATTTCTCAAATACTCCAATTCACAAATATACATTGCCATTGTGTTTCGTAAATGCATACTAGAACTTGCTTAGGGAAGTATTCGAAAAAGTTTGTAAAAACTTTCTCATGAATGTAGGTATGTTCTGTGCGTTGCGCGAAACGTTTTCAAATTTTATTTATCACTCTCGTGAATTTTTATGCCAGTTCGTAGCTTCTAGAGGAGTGAAATTTCGATAAAAAATTGCTTTACCTGACAAATATTATGAAAGCATCGTATAGGTATATTAGACACATTTTGCATTTTAATATGCAATTCAGTAATAAAGCAAGGCTGTCGCAATTATATCGTTCAAGTTTCGAAACGGATCTAAAATTTTGAACAAAATAAATTTCTCTCTATAATTAAAGTCTCGGTATTATAAAAGAATGAATGAAATATATGTATCAGACAAGTGCTATAATAAGTATTATAAAAATTTTATTTATTTTTTTTTTTTCAAATCTCAACACGTGCCAAATTTTTCAGCTCCAGTGTACGACAACATCGATTTTCAATTTTTGAAAATTTTTTACCCGGCTCGAGTTGCAAGCAGGCGAATCCACTTTTTTTTTTTTCTTCCTCATCCACAGTCGTCGTATACATCGTCTTACACGATCTCTCGTGTTATTCGCCACAAGTTCGCGATCAACGTTTTCACGCACAAGTAATATATAACGACTGACAACTGGCCATCAATTTTACGAACTACGTCGTAAATTACGCCGCGCAAGAAAACGATGTAACACAGTTATGCGTGTATGCGAGAAGAATTAAAATTTCCAGCGGGGGGACGAGGAACGTTTTTTTTTTTTTGCTACCGTAATTTCATCACCTGCTACCACCCTTTTATCGTGAAATATCGCGCATATACAATATACGGTAATTTCGTTCGTTCATTTACGACCAGTTCAATTTATACGCACTTCTGCAACAGCGGACACGTCGTGCGCGCGTAGTATAATTGATTACATACTTTGCAGCTTTCAACGTATTTTATATTGACACTCACAATGCTCCAATTACGTTGATACGGAAATTTAATAAG